GGGAATTCTTCCAAGATAAGTTTCTAGTCCCTTTTTGATAGCTCCAAGTGCTCCAATGATAACTGGTATCGTTTCCGTTCTCTTATTATTATTATTATTATTATTATTATTATTATTATTATTATTATTATTATTATTATTATCAGCTCATAAGCCTTCAACAGAAATACTAGATAGTTTATATAGATGAATGAAAACTTATTTAGGTAGCTCAGCTGTCAGAGTTCTTGTTCATTGTGAAGTTCTTTTCCAGACATGACATGCCTACTGATCCTAATGACCCTCTGGCAGACCAGAACATTAAAGATAGATATTATGGAATGAGTGATCCAGTAGCAGCACGTCTACTTAAACAGGCTTCTACCATGCCGACCCTGGAGCCTCCCTCTGACAAGTCCATCACTACACTGTATGTTGGAGGATTAGAGGGAAAAGTGGAAGAAAGTGATTTAAGGTGAGCAAATGAGACCATTCTTAGCAGGTGCAAAACATTTACGTTTATTATGAATACATGACAAAGACAGCTGATAGAGCCCATAACTAAAACACTATGCCACTAAAATCAGTGGTATAGTTGCAAGTCACATATGAGCTTTATTTCTTCTTCCAGGGATTATTTCTATCAGTTTGGTGAGCTTCGATCTATATCAATGGTTCCACGACAGAACTGTGCATTTGTCTGCTTTACCTCAAGAGCAGCAGCAGAAACAGCAGCAGAGCGCTCCTTTGGCAAACTGATACTGAAAGGACGGAGAATGAAAATTATGTGGGGCAAGTCTCAAGGGCAGCAACCAGCCCCAGGAAAACAAGGAGGCACTTCACTGGCTCCAGTACCAGGATTACCAGGAGGTGAGTTTTTTCAATCTACACATACTCTATGAACTAAAATGACCGATTTAAATGTAAACTGAATGTTGCTATGGTAGCTCAGATCTCGGTAAACATAATGTCATTTGAAATTTTCATCTTTCTCTCGCACACCAGTAATGTTCAATTTTCTGTTGGATTGATAATGGCAGTGCTTTGGTCACTCAAAGTTGAACAGTATTGTACTCAAAAATCCGATTTAGCCACCTTAAATCACTCTCTGACAGCAAAGGAATCGAACTGCCATTTTTCACATAATGTGGTTGCAATTACACACAAGCAGAATATTCACAGTTAAACACATTTAGAAGGTATTACAGATGAGCAGACCATTATTTGTAGGCAGTTATTTGCAGGTCACATGGTGGATTCTTGGGCAACAAAAGAGAAAAAGTGCATTAACTGATAACATTAGTTACTCTTCATAAATGATTCTCCTATTAGCCACATCCAATGATAAGAATGCTACTTTAGCCTGAGACTTAAATAAAGGTGGAATTGGATGGCTTTCATTTGTATTAGTTTTGGTTGCCATCTGACACATAACTTATTAAGAAATTTAAGACATCCTGTTATATTAAATCTGTTTTCTGTGTTCCTCTTTCAGCGCTCCCGCTGCCTCCCACAGAAGAAAAAAGCCCAACAAATTTCTTCAACCTTGCTCCACCATCCAATGCAGCATCATCTGGTGCCCCTCCTGTTCCACTTACTTTACCACCTCCCCCTGGACAGGTTCCAGGTATGCCCCCTCCACCCATGGGGCATCCATTACCTCCACCACCAGGAGGATTCCCTCCCCCTTTTGGACATCCACCATTCAGACCACCTCCAATGCCTTTTTATGGGGCACCACCTCCTCCCTGTATGCCTCCACCTTCAAGGCATGTCATGCCTCGCCCTCCACCTGGTCCTCCACCAATACACTACCCCTCTCAGGATCCTCATAGATTGGGTGCAGGAAAGGGTGGGGAAGGAGGTCCCCATCCACCAGCCCCTGCAGCTGCCAGTTCCTAGTCTATCAAAATTGTCTCACCTGGAATATGGTGTTTTTAGAAATAATACACTTGAAGTTTCTATATTGAAAACCCTAAAATCTGACCCGTCTTTAAACTGATGAGAGAGGCTTTCTGGTTGCTGGAGGAATGCAAGATATAACTATATGGAATAACATCACAGTTTTTATAAAAGTTTACTTTTTTTATGGCTTCAACTGTATGTATTCAAGAAGTAATGTATGTGCTATTGTAGACCTTCATTGCTATATCTACCATGGTTCATTTTGCACACTGTTCCTTTTAATTTACAAATTAAAGCAGCTTTCCAGCCACTTAAAGAATTGTTTAGATTTCTCTGTTTTCGTACAGCCTGTCACCTTAGCTGTTTGAAAGGCAAACTTGGGTACCACTGCAGGGAACCTAACTAATTGGCTAACAAGACATGCTGATTGAGCTGTAGTCATCATAGATATTGAGGAACTGCAGTTAAATTAAGGGGAAAAATTAACTCTACTCCAGGACAGCTGTTAAAGGAAAATGGCTAGGCTTCCTGGGAGCTGAAGATACCCTCATCAAATGACTCAGAGTTACCCACTCCCTGCCCTGTCTAGTCTCCCGTTTTGGGATGGTGTTCAGTTCTCTTACGATTCTATTCGTGCATTCAACCATTGAATAAAAATACGGGACAACCCAAGGGACAACCAAAAGGTGCCCGCTAGATGACCTCATCAGGACATGCAAAAGATGCCTGCGGCAGCTGGTTATTAGTGGTTTTAATTGAAGTATTTTGCTGACAACAATTTCGGACTTTAAAAACTGGCAGTATGCAGTTGAAACAACATGATCTACATCATAAGCGAGCACATCGTGGGACAAACGATTATACTTTATTAACAAAAAATTACCACCTCCAAGGACAGGGCTAATGTGGCTCCTTTCTAAATATTTTTATAGTATTTATTATTTTGGTTTATTTACAATGCCTGATAAGGGAGGTGGGCGGAGGCGTGATGGCCTCATGGTTTAATAGTGCGCTTGACTCTGGAGTGAGCGGTCCAAGTTTGAGCCCTGGCCAGGGACATTGCGTTGTATTCTTGGTCAAGACACTTAAGTCTCATAGTGCTTCTCTCCACCCAGGTGTATAAATGGGTTCCAACGAATTTAATGCTGGAGGTAACCCTTCGATGGACTAGCATCCCATCCAAGGGAGAACAGAAATACTCCTACTTTCTTCATGCTACAGAAACCGGGATAAACTCTAGCCTGATGAGCCACTTGGCTCATATGCAGACTTAATCTACCTTACCTACCTATAAATGCAAGGTGTATACCAATTTAGTCCTAGGAAGTTTTCAACTTTAAATAACGTTCCGACTTCCAAAAGAAATTTTATTAAGGATTGTGCAGAAAAGAATCTCATCAGACATCTCAGGCAGATGTTCTTTGCAGTCAGTAAGAGCATCTACCCAGGAGGCTATCTTAGATGCTGTTTCACTGAAACTGTACAGTCTGAAAACATAACTGTACTTGCCCAAATTTGTCGTTAATTTCTGATTTAAGCAGCACAATGTTGCCTTAATGTTTTCCTTTTTTTTACAGACGAGTTTTACACCAGGTCTACGCTTACTAACACTTCTTGATTAAAGTTTCTTATAGACCCTATTCATAAATGGCTGCCAATTAAAAATTCGTTTGCGTTAAAATTAGAGTTGATAATTCAAAAGAATTTTTACTCAAACGAGGTTAGTTGAACTAATTTTAATGCATACAAAAGAACTTTTAATTGGCAGCCATTTATGAAAAAGGTCTACATCGCAGCTTTATTCCAGATTTACGAAGCGGGAATAAAAAAATTTTCAATCCTGAGCAGGAATTCGAGGGATGGGGCTCAACCCAAAATGCCTTTCTAGGGAGGGATACGAAGAATTTCCGGAACAATGCATTGAATAGGGACGTTATGGCTGACAGCTGGACACTGGGACCTCTCTCTCAAGAGCTAATCATATATTAATAATTTAAAATTGGCAAACATGGTTATCATTGTATGGTATCATTGTTCATTCATTAGATGCTGCTATTCCTTTAGGATGCAGTGTTGTGTAAGTGAAATGTTTTCCACAGTGCCAAATGGCTTGCAGGAGTCTGCTGAATCCTGTGTCCTTAGGCTAAAAATTAAGAAACAGAGTTTGTTACTTAAACCTTACACAAAGCAAAAAGTGAAAAATATAGACTGTAGTAACTTGCAATACATGATTGTGACCATCATACAAGCATATCTGTTATCTCATGAACTGAAGAACAACAAATAACCAAAACTGTGAGAATTGAAAGCAGAGACATTGATTCACGGAGTGCCTTTAAATTGCCATTTTTACCCCTTGACCATCTTGCTGGTCACCATGGCCAGTCCAGGAGAAAAATGATCCCTCATATTCTACACTTACTAGCATAAGATTGATTCCTAATAGGAGGTGCAGTGCACTGGACTCCATGTTTTAGACCCTGGCCGGGGTCACTATGTTCTGTTCTTGGGCAAGAACCTACCAAGGGAGGTGGATCCAGACCTTGAGCTAAGGGGGGAGGGGGAGGGGGGGGGTTGCTTGCCCTGTCGGCTTTTCTTTCTTCTTGACCAATACAGCAGTACTGTTAGATAACATTAGACCAATACAACAGTACTAACTAACCGAGAACAAGGTCTTTACGGAAAAATCTCAAACCGAGACCTTGCCATATTGACTGAGTGATAACAAGGTCAATAGGTTAAGGCTGAGGTTTTAGATTGTCCCATAAAGACTGAATGTTTGAGGTTAATAATTAGTTTATTATATGGCTTTTTGTTTGGTTTTCACAGGCCTGTAAACAGCCTGTGAGCATTTTGGAATGATAATGCCTTAGTATAAGCCAACCAGGGTGCATGTTATATTGGCTACAAACACAAGTCATATTAAAATGTTAGATAACATTTGACCAATACAACAGTACTGTTAACTTTTCTTAGAAAACCTTTCTCTATTACATTTTCTAATCCTCTGACAAGCTGATTCTTCATGACAACAATAAATTCTCTGTGACTTAGAACTCCATCATCTGAATGGATAGAAAAGTAGAAAACCACTTTTATTAACAATGAGTGCTTGAAAATTATGTATCACGTACCCATTATATTTGCTTCATTCGGATGAAAATACTATTTACAGGGCTAAGTCTTGGTTTGTGCATCTTGAAAAGATTAGCCTAAATTTTTCAAGTTTGTCGTTTGTGATCCCCATCAGTCTTCTCCATCCTTAACCTTTACGGTTTATTTTTATCTCTGGTGTTCTTCTGTCTTAGTAAACTACTAATTTCAGAGGTTATTTTGTACGTGGCCACAATAACTTAAAATATTGTGACTGAGCTCCTTTAAAATAAAGTCATCATCATTCAGCCTAATGATGACTTGACTTTTAAGTAATTTAAATTATAATCTTTAACCTTCCACAGTAGCCATTTGTGCCATATATCATTGGAGATAATAATAAAAGCTAGCTTGCTGCATGGGTAACAAGTGACAAAGAAATAATTAAAGAAAACTTAAAATGTCTAGATGTGTACATAATAGCTTTTAGAACTTTTACTTGTTGATTAAGAAAAAGACCCAAAATAATTAAAAAAATAGAATGTAATGAAAACCTTGATGAAGTGAGAAAATACAGTTGAAACATTACTGACAGCTTTCTTTTTGCAACCACCATTGACACCATGATATTTTAGCTAGACTGTGCACTGATTATTAACAAACCTACAATGAAAACTTCCTCTTTTCTATGCTTAGTAACTTCTGCCCTACCCTGTGAGCAGAGGTCCCTTTTGCCCGAGTCTAAAAACTTATCTTAATAGGTTCCATTGTACATAGGAATGCTCTGTTGTCTGTTGTAATAAGATTTTTCTAAGAGTTTGCTTATCCTGACATCCATTTTATCCATGCAACGATTCTTATCAATATGCAAGTTAAATTTGTAGGCTTACCATTTTCATCAAACATCTTGTATACAACATCAACCACATTATCGCGTAAGTTTACATCAGTCACAGTCTTAGCAACTTGCTTGAATGTAGCTGCAAGCAGGGGAAACAACAACAACAAAGCAGTGAGCCTGTGCATCACTGACCTCAACCCTACAGGACAACATGCAAATCAAGTGGTGAAAGAAAAAAATTAACTCAAGTATTGGGAAGGCATTGCCCTGAATTTAGAAGATGAAAATAATCACTTCTAATTGAATAAAAACAAATAATTTTACATCAAAATTCTTTATTTCTTTGCTTACATGCTCATAGCTTCAGGACATTTCAAGTATGCTTTCATGAGATACATTTATGTTTTGAGATGAATAATGTGACAATCACTGCTATGCATTCCTGCTGAATCACAACAGATGAAGTGTGAAGAAATTCAAACTTAAGCTGATAGTGTAGGATTGATTTTCATGTTCTCAAGAAAGGTGTCCTTTACGTTAAAGACATGATAGTGTGCTTGTATGCTCTTCAAACAAATTTCTCATATTTTTCTGATGCCAACAAAAACTTTTGTACTTCTTTTACATTGTTTTAATATAGTTTTCCATTGCTCAAGCAAAACACCTTGAGCTTTTTGTAATAGCAAGAGTTATAGATCTAGAGAGGTGTTCAGTTGAGTGTCAAAAGTAATCAGGCATACATGTACATGTACATGTACATACATACAGTAACATACATATGTAATGTTGGTCTTCATCCTCTTCAATTACACAGATACATGTAAATACAGTAATGTATGTGTGTAATTACTTAGGTTTTGATTTTGGTTTTATTATGGTTTGAGATTGGCTGAGTAGTCTAATTGGTAAGTTATTGGTTTGGTTTTGGTTTTACGACAATCAATTGGAAACCTCTTGAAGTTGTTAAAATAGCTATGACTATGATTTCAAAACAAAAAAGAAATAATCAGTATATTTGTTGGATAAAAGTACTCAATATATTTGTTGGACAAGACCACTATTGAGCAATGTGTCTGTGAAAAAGACAACTGGATGGTAATTGATTAACAAGGTCAAATTAAATCAAGACAAGACTGAAGTTGTTCTTATCAGCTTCAGATATCATCCTAAGCCCACTTTAGAGTCTGTTCAAATTGGCAATGTAACGGTTGTACCATCATCCTTGGCAGGTAATCTTGGTGTTATTTTTAACAATTGTTTAAACCTTGAGGAACACATAAAATCAATTTGCAAGTCCTCCCATTATCTCATAAGAAATATCATCAAAATTAGAAGGTACAATGATGAAGAGAGTGCCAAAATTGGTGTTCATGCCTTTATTACTTCGAAATTAGGTAACTGGAACTCACTGCTATGTGTATATGGCCTTGCTCAGTATCTACTTTCAAGATTACAATCTGTCCAAAATACAGCATCTTGAATTGTTACATGTACTAGGAAATTTGATCATATGACCCCTATCCTACAAAAGCTCCACTGACTACCTGTCCGTAACGGTACAGTTTATAAAATTATTTTACTGGTCTGCAAAGCTCTCAATGGAGCAGAGCCTTGCAACATCAGTGACTTACTTAATTATCACACCTCTCAACAGACACTAAGATCGTCTTCTAAACACCTTCTGGCTGCCCCGAAAGCAAGACTTAAGACGTGGTGAGAGAACGTTTGCTGTGGCAGCACCAAGACCATGGAACTCAATCCCGCTCTAACTAAGATCTAGTTCTTCAATTAACAGTTTTAAAACACATTTAAAACAAGCTTTTTAACTCTCTTAATTCTTAGGTGATACATATGTTTAAGTATCTTAACTAAGTTATTCCTATTATTATTACTAATATTATTATTATCATTATCGTTATTATTATCATTATTACTATCATCATTATCATTATCATTATCATCATCGTTTTTTCCCCTTCTTTTAGCTTTTTAAAAACTTTTAATGTAAAGCACATTGGACAATTAGTGGATTTGGCCCTATACAAATATCATTATTATTATTAATAAAGTTTATCATAACTGTACAAGCCAGGGATGCTCTAATTCTTTTTCCAGCCGCCAAAATTGTGATTTCTATCAAAGTAGTCAGAGCTCTAACTCCCTGTAGCAGAAAATACTCCCTCCCCTCAGCACCAGTGACAGCCCTGTCTTTGGAGCTTGTAATCACAAGGCAACAGTTGGGTGTTACTCTCCAGAAATGGACAGTAAAAGTAATGATATACCTGGATCAATGGGCTTGCCTGCAGCATTGTGGAAACTTAAAGCCAACTCAGCTTCAGAAATGTTCCTCATAAAACGAAAGAAATCCAAATAGTCTTTGAATGTTATTCCCTAGCAAGCAGTAATTAAGAAAACAATGAACATGGAATGACGCTGTTTATGACTACATAAAAATAATTTGAAAGCCATTTTAATTTAAAGAATTATCTTTCATCCAGTCTCAAGAGTAACCTGAATTTCGGTACAAATTAAACATAAAATCAATAATTTTTTTGGATATTTCTTAAATGATAATTGTAGATAATCGTTGGATGTTGTCCTTCAGTAGCATTTTGAATGAAAGTGGTAAAAGTTCAAGTGAGGCCTTACTCTACTGTAAAATGATGTTAAAATCTTTTAAAAAATCCAAGCTTTGGCCGATCTACGGCATCATGATGCCGTAGATCGGCGAAAGCTTGAATTTTTAAAAGATTTTAACATCATTTTACAGTAGTGTAAGGCCTCACTTGAACGTTTACCACTTTCGATAATTGTAGAGTTACTTACATGTAAAAAGAGTTACTTAAAAAGTGACTTAAAAACATTTGCCAAAACCCAATCAGCCTGTTTTTTCTGGCCAATTCTGGTCAAATGGGAAATAATCACAACAAGTAACTGACTTGTTTGTTTCTTCTTTCTGGACAGGCCTTACCTGAGAATTTTCTTTAAAATGTTTCTTTACTTTTCTCAGAATTTTCTGCTTCTTCTTCTCATGAAAACTAGAGTAAGTTAGAAGCATGTCTGCAAAGTCCCGTTCTGTAATCTGACCATCTTTAGGGTCATAAGAATTGAACTGAAAATTAACAAAACAAGTTAATGTCTACTGTAAACTGTTGCATACCATGTCATTCTGGGAGAGTCATATTAAATTTATTACAATTTTATGCCAAGTAACTAACAATGACAAATAATAATAATAGTAATTTAATTAATTAAAGCCAAAAGGATGATTAGTAGATAAGCATACACTGACCCCATATAAAAATAAATCAGTACCTTATAATTATAACAAAAATAGCTAAGTTAAAAACTGCCTCACAAAGTGGAGATTGGTTGCTTAAGACATCGCTTCCACTATTACTGCTCTAAGATGGAGACCTCTCCCATGACTGGTAAATCCCGGCAACCCAGTGGGCCCTGTCACACTGATAAAATGGTGGGAAAGAGAGAGGGAGGGAGGAGGGGCAGCCTATGAGAAGAGCCCCAATGCTCAAGAGAATTGTAATGCTCAAGAACACGCTGACTAATTGCAAATCGTTACAACACCCTTTGGCACAGCATTCGGAATCTGGTGCATGCACATATCTAAACGCTGCTGAAAGCAAAGGCAAGACTAGATGTGCTCCTTGTTGTTAACTCTGTTAAATTGCATTTAACTGCATTAATTTAAAAAATACCATTGACTACTAACTTATTTAAAACCACACTGCTGCACATGTTGTTATCGACTATACCTACCTCCAGGTACATTACTTCTTGTTGCAGATTTTTTTGGAACTGAATGAACCTTTGCACAGTGAGCCTCTTCTCTAAATATTTTCCAAAGAAGTATTCCTTGATGCCGCTGTTCACATGAGCAGAAAGGACACTGCCAGTCACAGCATGATCACGATGCCGCAGTCCAGTTGGTGTCATGCTAAAAAGGATATTCTGAACCTGAAAATTATAAAACATACTTAGGCATTAAAAACCTTTCTAATTTGCAGAGAAAACTGTACACTGGAAACCTCCATAATTTAACTTTTTCTATCAGAAGGTTATGCAGTCTGAGTAAAAAATGGTCCCACATGGTCTTGACTTGACTTTTAACTGAATGGGACCTATCCTTGCAGTCAGCTCTCAACTTGTAGTACTTTGCAGAACCCTTCTAAAGGCTTAGGCTTATAAAAAGGCCAGGATAGAAGAAGACCAGTGGTAAGCACTTGAAACTAAAAAATGTTTGTTTATTTTATCAACACCAGAGTCATCAGATGAGCTTAGCAACTTTGGGATTTATTATAAAATGGACTTACAAGTGACTATATTAGCCTCGGATCTCAGTGCCAACTCATACATAACTAGCTCTTGGTTTTAAATGTTCTGAGCAAATCAGAATTTCCTAAACTGCACGTCTTATGAATTGGACTTAACTTAAGTTACAGTAATTAAAGAATAGTTTTCACTCACCTTTTCAAACTCATCAGGTGACACTTCACCATCTCCATTCAAATCAAACATTTGAAATGCAATTTCAAACATTCTTGGTGGGACTAAAAATAGAACCACAACCAGTATCTGCTCACTAGGCACTCACTATGAATCTAAGGACTATCAATTGGCAAACAACAACACAACAATCATACAAATGTAGGATATGAGTGCACCTTACGTGATAAAACTGTGAGAAGAAAGATATAGTCAGAAAATGAAATGAGCCCAAATTCTCCCATCTTCAAGAAAACACTGTCTTGTCCCAAGTGTTCAGAAAAATGGCCTTTGTACTTGTGTTTCTGAAAGAGACAGATAGATGGACAACCTTTAATTAAACACAATGAGCTTACAAGCTGAAAGCTTGTGGGGTGGTGTAAGGAGATCTATAGTTAAAATAAAACATAAAATCATAATTTATTCTTATATACAAAATCTTGAGTCAAGGCTACTTTGATGCTAAAATTAAAGAAATTGATAAGTGAATAGATGGTGAATTTTAAGCGCGGTAATGGAATGTGAAATGTGAATTAATCAACTTGACACGAACATGGGGTAAAGAGAAAATCTGAGTCCCTGACAGAAATTGAACTCATGACCTGCGGGACACTGGGCGGGTGCTCTATCCATTGAGTTGACAGTGCTGATCCTAGCAGTACGCAGGACACCGATGCACCGGAGGTCATGGGTTCGATTTCTGTCTGGGACTCAGATTTTCTCTTCGTCCCATGCTCATGTCATGTTGATCAATTCACCTTTCACAATTAAAGAAATTATATTACAAAGTAAAAGCTTTTCACAATTTTATATATACAAAGGTGTCAGATCTAAGACTGGTAAAAATGATTACAGGTGCTTGATTTTGGCTTTCTGATGAGAACGTTTGTGGCGTGCATCGTTATGAAAATCTAGTGTTCTTTTGAGTGAGGCCTAAAAAATAAAACCGGCTTTACGACCCACAAATTAAGGTCATTTTCAGATTAAAAAACTTAATATAAATTGTGTCACATGTTACCTCTGGGTTGAATCTCTCATGTTCATCAAGTCCTAACCCTGAAAAACACAATTAAATCAAATAAAATATAAAACAAACATCAAGTGTTACTTGATCATCCATACAGAGCAACAAAGTTTCAAGTATGACCTGATCCTGACCAATTAAACGGCACAACTGAATTTGGCAAATAATTTGTAGTATTACCAATGCTTTCCAGTAGAATACCAATTCTTTTAAACTCTGAGCAGATTTCTTCAAACTCCCAATATCTCAAATGAAAACTCGCTTTCCTGGAATTTTTTTCATTGTAATTTAGGATGTTAGCACAGTATTTTTGATGAACTTGTAGGTGTCTGGAAATGTAGTAAAACACTGTCTTGAGTTCTATCTATCATGAGGTCTCAATTGAAATAAAACGTACGGAGAAAGTTCAAGAGAATAGTAAAAATTTATGTTATTTAAGATAAGATAATAATGACCATTATTAACAAAAACTAAAATTCAAAACATCTGTTTGAATTTACAATGAAAAGGCGTTATAGAAAGAGAGGTAAAATAAATACCATGTGATAAAATCTAAGTAGAAATTAGGGAAGGGTTTAAAATCAAGAGGGCAATTAAATAAAGAATAAAGTTGTGGTCCCTCTCACGAGTCTGACATGTGCAGGTAGGACAACCCAAACAGTGTCACAGTTATGATTTCCTTTGTTTAAACTTGATGAGTTATTAATAGTTTGGGAGGTGGGATTCTACTGTCAGAGCTCACTGTCAAACAGTTCACAAGCATTTTACTCATTGAAAAATAATGTCATGTTACTCCACCATCAATAAGTGGACTGTACTAGATACAAGCAGACCAGTCTTTCTTTACCAGCTGGTTGCATTTTCCCTGGGGTTAATGATCTCACAAAATCTTCTGGCGTCATAAACACTTCATTGTCTTCCCCAACATGCACAACTTTTAGAGTTGCAAAGTATCTGAACACCTTGTCTGGAGTACTGTACTGTCTGATTCGATTCTCATATTCAATTATCTGAAGAATAAAACAATAGCAATCAAACATAACTCTGATTGAGATTGACATGTTATGGTTTTGCCATAATCTGAAAATAAACCATAATAATGAATTCTTTACACGCGCATCTGTAGTTGGCAGTTAGACTTTTGTTTTTTGAGTGGTGGTTAGCAGTTAGTGGTAAGTGATATGTGGTTAGGTTTTAGTTTTTTGCAAGAGTGCTCTGTTCCAGTATTCCTGGTTTCAAATGAATACAATTCATTAAATTTGTTTTCATCTCATTTACAAAAATCTTTTGTCGCACCCTTGGTCACAGAGTAATATTCATAATTTGAGCAAGCAATTTTAACCCCAGTACATGCATGTGTAAAAGGTGCATTGATTTGCCAATGAAAGAAGCAAATTATTCAATATACAATATTATAAATGAGACTGGAGAGTTGCACACTGCTACTCCAGCCTGAGCTTCTTCTGGTGAAGAAAGGAACTAGCAAAGAACGAGGTAAAGCCCAAAATGTTTCTGTTAGTTGTTTTTGTTCTTGTTATTTTGTTGACAATTGTAAAAAGATAACAATCAAACTCACAACTTTTTTTCTTCATAGATTTTAATTGATTGCTGCCGATTGATATTGATTATTGGTTTATCGATTGACTATGTCTGGGGAAATGGTAACTCATTCATGGACACGGTAGAAGAGTGTCCCTGTATCTACAAACGGCTGGCAAATCCCTATTCAAAGATCAGAATATAAAGGCCAATGTGTGGTAGACGATTTCAGAGTTCCTTGATCTGGAAGAATCCAAGTGTAAGCAAAAATAAGAAGGCATAGGGACAACTTTTTTTGAGGTACATCAAGTAAGCAGTTGGAAAAAGTGGTTCTGGTAGAGATGACATTCCATTAAAGCCGAAATATGAACACTTGAGGTGGCTTGCAATCTTTATTAAAACAACACCTACTTTGAGCAAGGTGGGAAATCTGGGACGGTCAGTATAACAGTGAAATCACCAATTGTCGGGGATTTGCCCACATGAAAACCAGCTGTGATGCAGGGTTCCAGATAAGTTTTAAAGGTAGGGTGCTAATAGGGAATACCAACAGGTCAATTTCCACTGCTCACGCCAAATCATGATAATTTTATTAGTAATTTGTCGGGTCGAGTAGCTGATCTTGTCGAGTTTTTGACCCGAGACCCCTCACTTATCTGGAACACTGTGTTAAATATGGCCTTCACATCCAGACAAAAATAACAAAAATGGTTATACTTCCACATTTCAGATTAATGAAAAAACTGGGAGTGGTGAATCTATTTTTTGGAAAAAAAAAAAATAAATAAATAAAAATACAGCCATCACTCAAGATTTTGGCCACCGTTTCAAGTGAGCTTATATCTAGAACAAGTTAAAATTCCAGTCTTTTTTAAATATTTTCTCACCCTTCTTTCCCTGAATCCCTGTTTATGGTTTTTTCTTTTCCCGTCTGTTTCTTCGTTGCCCTCTTCCTGATTTTCAACCATGTTGTTTTCACTCATCAAATCAATGGAAGGAGTTTTACTGTCTGCCTTTGCATGAGTAAGTCTTCTGAACAGGAAATAAAGTGAACCAATGAGTCCCACAGATGATCCGATGACTAGACCTACGAGACGCTTTTCTCTACGAATGCGTTCTTCTCTACTCTGTTCTTGTTTCGTTCTTTCATTTCCCGCAGTTGAGCTTGAGAATCTTGCAGATTTGAAATTCCGTAACAAACGCCCACTACCAAAATAATTCATAGTGTAAGGCTTGTTTGCTGTTGCCAGTTTGTTAAAGACACCCCGAAAAACTATAAGCCTTGCCATTTAAGTGATAGATAAGTTGAATTCTTTCACTCTTTGTTGACTGACGAATACAACTTCATCTGCAGATCTATGCTGCTTTCCTTCGACCGCCAAACAGAACGGAACAAGAACGGAATCCAGGAGGAATCAAAATGGCGGCTTTTACATAAGACCGCTGGCCGGAATAAATGTGAAATTGTCAAAAGTTAATTTTTTTGTTGCAAAAAGTTCATTTTTGCTATGTTTTTTTAACAATTTAAGAGTGCTTTCGCTCTCGTTGTAGCTTCATCCCAGCATAGTTAGTAACTACTAACTATGATCCCAGGAGCTAAAGTTCATAACAAAATTTAAGACACTTTAAATCCCCACGGGAGAGGGGTCGAGGAACTCTTTGCGATTTTGTAAATTTTGCATCACACCGAAGCACGCCCCTTCCTTTTGATTTGAGATACAAATTCGAAATCTTGGAGGGATTAAAGGATCATCATACGTGAGGAGAGACTACCTACAAGAGAAAAAAAACAACAATGTTTTGGGTCTTTTTCTTTGGGGAGAAAGGTCCCAGCCTACCCCTCCCATAACTCTGTGCATGTTGTTTAGAGAGCGAGCGTCTAACATGGCGGGCATCCCAAGGGTTTGTCAATCTTCGATCGCTTTCTTTGGTTTTAAGGTAATGTTTAAATCAGTTCATGTTACTGCTGTGAGTATTTCGTCCAGCTATCTTTCGTTGCAATTTATTTTTTAGCGGACAGATTTGGAGAAATAAATGTAACTTGAGCTCGCTTTATGAACAACAAATTATTTATAAACGCCAGTGTGTTCTACTTTTCACATTATTTTGAACACCTGTTTATATTATTTTCAGGGAGCGCGTCAAGGAAATATAATTTTGAATAGGATATCAAAGCACTGGATCTTTGTCTCTTCGCGATGTAGAAAAGGTAAGGGTTGAATGACTTCCGTTCGCCATTTGCCACGGGCGCTCTGTAGCTTATAGAACTTTCGAAGTTAAGCTTATAACATTTCAGATATTTGTAGCTGTTTGTGATAAATGCTGAACAAGTTGCCTTTCTGGAAAGAAAATTAACACAAACTATTCTTGCGCTCGTTTATTTCTGCATTTAAAATCTATGCTTCCTCTTAAAATATAATTTAAATTACAATGATCTAGTGCATGTTACATACAGTCGAGCTTATTAGCTTCAGTTTATAACCAGGCTTATGTAAGCTTAAATGCAATTCATGTATTTGACTTGACAATTTGCCGTACGTTTTTCACTCGTATTCAAACAAGTGATATACCTTTCTACTTTACATTAATTTGAGTATCCACTCATATTACCATCATATTGTCTGACTGACGCAGTCCTATTAATCAAACAATATGTGAAGGGAGGTTCTCCAGCCCTACACGGGTCAATCAACAATCATTTAATGCACACAATTCAAATTCACTGTGACACATACTGTCTCAACTTACAGCTAAATCAATAAAGTTGGTATGATAAAATACTTATTGACAGGGGCAGGCTGGCGTACATCTATTTGTAGACCTTCAATTTTCAGTCCTAAGGTGCATATATATGCAGTAGGAAGTGCAAGAGACTATACTGAGTGGGACGAGGGTTGATTAACCCCTGGGTAAACAAGAAGGAAGGAGTGGACACCACCTTCCCACTAGGGATTTTTCTTTTAATTTTTAAAGGATAATTTACTATGTGATACTGAAATGTTCAGTAGCAATTTATTAATCTCTCGTCTGCCTCATATTTTCTATGTCATTTGATATTGCCTGTGTGTGTCAACCTTAGTGATAACTAGTTACATAACAAATATGTGCTCTTGATCAATGAGGGGAGAGACATGGGAAGGTTTGTGTTATTGTGATTTTGGGAATTTTCTGCAAGATATTTTGGTAGTTTAATTTATTCTTGATTTTCAGTCAGCAATCAATCAGTTAAAATATTATTAAACTCAACTAAAAATGTTTGACATCAACAGACAATGTTGCCGTGACATTTAAAAGTGGTTTCCCAGTCATTTCTGTGCCATTGCCATCAAGGAGAGAAAGATGCGAATTTACTTTGCGTCCATTAAGTCACACTGTGAAAGATTTCCTTAAAGATATACAAGAGGAAGATAAGGGGATTGAAAGAGCCATGGTTTACAATGAAGATGGGTCGAGGATTTCTGGCAGCACTGGGGTTGATGTGTTACTGCAGTCAAATTTTAAGCTTGTGTTAAATGAAGACTCGTATCTTGTCTTAGTGCCTGATGAGAGTAAGTGTTGTTGAAAACTACAACAGTACTGGAATTTTTTATTACAAACAGACAACTTGATCATTATAGATACCTAGACAGCCTGGTGGTACCTCAACTTCTATTAACTTCCTCTTCACTGTAGTTTAATTCTTCAAACTGCTCTTGGAAAGCCCTCTGTACACCATAAATATATTCATTTTCAATTGGTGCTGTAGAGTTCGGAGTCTGTGACAGGAAAGCTACATGTAGGCTCAGTTACCAGCCAATTTGTGTGTTTGAGTCCCACACAACTCCCACAACAGCTAGAATTACAGGCACATCAGACACATGCTTTAGCAATGTAAGGGCTAAAACATACTATTTAAAAGTAATGGAACAATGTTCAGTGCGTTAACTGTAGCTTAAGAGTCTGTATTTAGTGGATGTTTGTGAAGAGTTGTTCCACCCCAGATGGGGTTTTACTTTGGTTGAAAAAAGTAATCTTATAATATTAATATATGATTATCCAGCCCATTACCTCCAGGGGATTCTGCTTGAAAGTCAAATCAAAGTCAATATATGAATGAATGATTACAGCTAATTCAGATGCCCCACCTCACTGGCCTGCTTCCTAGTGTTTTCAAGTGAAGTCGACCCCAGTCTTCCCTAGTCCTCTCAAATCTGCATCCAATGATTCAGCTGGCATGGAGTTGTTAAATTATGTTTGTTAATTGTTGTTTCAGGTAAGCCTCCCATTGATGACTTCAGGACAGTTGCGCATGTGAAAACCTTAGTTCATCAAATGTATAGTGCCATGAACATAGAGCAACATCAGGTATGAGAAAAATATTCTTTTGCCTTACGTACCATGATTCTTGCAGCTTGTGGCAGCTCCATTTGCCTCGTAGTTTTGTTTCTATGTTCATATTAGTACAAGAAAGAGACTACGTACTCTTAATAAAACACTTAGCTATTTATCAACGGGAAGTTGACAAAGGTGAATTAACTGCCATAAATTTACCTTTATCAACTCAGTTCAAGTTTATAAACAGCAAAGTGTTTCACCTGCTGCCAACACAGACTAACTTTCTCTTCAGTGAAACTAATATACCGTTAATCCCGGTCCTGGAGGGTGGGGGGGTACTCCCAGAAAAGTTGGGTGGTGGGGTGCGGCCCGCTTCCCAAAATCCTTACCCTATTTATGACCAAAACCTGCGATATTTCCTACCCTATTTATGACCTGAGTGACCAAAACTTCGAAACCCTATTTATGACCTGACCCTTAAATCAAAACCCTATTTCAGACCTGCGTTATAATTAGTTCCCTAGTTCAGACCAATGTTAAATTACCGTAAACATAATTTGTGAAGGGTTTTTGTTGATTTTCTTTTTGATAATGATGAAAAAGTGGCTTCTCCTTAAACACATACCCATATCAAGGCTAGAGTGCAAAAACCATACCCTATTTATGACCAAAATGGCCAAAATCAGCTAAAATCGATACCCTATTTATGACCAAAATGGCTGAAAAACCATACCCTTTGGGGCTGCACATACCTATATAGCCCATATAAGGGAGTACCCTCCCTCCGGGATCCTGGTCAACCTTCTGAACAGATGTCAGTCATTTCACCTACAAGTTGATTCGCCTACATCAAAGTTGTTTCGCCTGCACAACCAAAGTCATTTCACCCACAATCCGAGTCAATTCGCCTACGTCAAAAGCCGAGCACCAGTGTCTGAAGGGCCATCAAGCAGAGTTCCATACCCATGTAGGAAAGAAAACAAAACCCATGTGTTGATTTTCTCATGGTTATCATGGCTAGCAGTATTGCTCATGGGCACATACGCACAACACGACAACGATGACAGAGTTGCGCAAGATGGTGGCCATACTCCAGCTAATAGGTTGACAGAGACATGCACGCGTCCCTCTTTGACATTGGACACCCATGTTATGGTCCAATGAGACCTGTCAAAACAAGGTATCCACTGACCAGTATCATGTGACCATATCGTGGGCTCAAGTTTAGAGTTTATCGAGGTCACATGTTTTTTTTTTAAAGTTGACCGCTGACCAAGTGCTGGTTTTTGATTGGTCCGCAGGCTCATGTCAGGTTAACTTGTTGGCCAGGTTGTTCAGAAGCTAAATGTATATATTATATTTTGCGAAGATAGATTAACATCACTGCCCCCAAGGGGCAGAGGAGTCGTATTTGACCGTATTTCCAGTTAAATTCGCCGTAAAATTGTGGTGCGAATCGATTTGTTGGTGATTTAAAAGATTTCAACAGACGCGTAACACGATGCATGTCGATTCTTTGTCGTAGAACTGCAGATTTTTTGTCGGGATCAAATCGGGTTAAACTTTGTCCGGCCATCAGCTTGCCGCACACTAGCCGATTTTTTGTGGCGACTAACCGCGTTGAGGCTTGGCGCCTATTTCACTGACGTGACTCTTGTGACATTTCCTATTGGTCGAGGCGCGCGTGAGCCCCGACAAATTGTCTTGGTCCACCGCACATCAGCCGACAAGGCCCGACAAGACGTTTTGAGATTTAGCACTGTCAGATATCGCCCGTCAAACCTCGATCTTGCCGCAGACTTGTCTGAATTCACCGCACACTAACCGACAAGTGAAGATTTTTCGTCGGCCGATAAAAAATCGGCTAGTGTGCGCCGACCTCAAGGGAAACGAAAATTGGTTCGAAAAATCAAAAAGGGAAGAATTTTATACAGTTTAGTTAAGTAGGCACACACACATATCATTTCAAGTTGAAGGTGTAGTTTAATTCTCTGTTCTTTTGGTACCTGTCGAGTTCCTGTTGGGGATATTCAAGTTTATTAGCTCGTTTGTTGAGACATAGCGTTCAGCATAGCCGCGCCGTCGCTGTGAAATACTCTTCCAAAAACATTACTATAATTATTGTAAGTTTATTTGTCAAGTTTTAGATAAGTATTGATAAAATAACTGAGCTACTACGCGCGCTCTCATTGGTCGATAGGTGTGTTTAGATGAGAGTATGTAAACACGGTTGTGACGTTTTAGATTCGCGCGTATTTTTGAGAATTATTTTATAAAAGCAATAGAGCAGTTTTTCTAGAAAGTTATGCAAACCCTCGACTACGTCTCAGGTTTGCACAACTGTCCCGAATTTCCCAACCCTCCTCGTGTTTAGATGAGGCTGTGTAAACACGGAGATAGTGCTCTATTGCTTAATTAGTATTTAGTAATAGGTGTCTAGTGTAGGCGAATTTACTTCCAATGTAGGCGAATCGACTCAGATCGTGTAGGCGAAACGACTTGTAGGCGACACGACCGGCTGCCTGCCTAACGGTCGCATTAATCTAGATAAGACGTGTAGGGTTGCTTTAACATCCAGCTGTCCTCAAACTTAACTTGATGTTCTTACTTTAAGCTGGAAAAAGAACGTTATCTTATGCAAGAGTGGGAAAAGTTACAATTGGAACTCAAGCCACTGGAAGATCTTAAAGCAGAAATTGATCGAAAGTCAGCGCAGAGAACCAATTTTGTAGTGTGGGGTGGGCTGGGGTATATGGCGTTGCAGTTTGGTTTGCTGGCTCGTCTTACTTGGTGGGAGTACTCATGGGATATCATGGAACCGGTCACGTATTTTGTGGGATATGGAACAGCTATGGCTTGCTATGCGTACTTTGTGTTGACCAGGCAGGTGAGTTTGGTCCGATCATTCCGCCAAGTTTAGTTTGAAATGAAGCCTTGCTCTCTAGTAAGCAGTTATCTAGTAACAGAGATATGATAAATAGCATTATAACTTAAAAATAGAAAGCACTTCCCGTTTTTGTTTGAGTTGTGGAAACCTGGTGGAATGGCTTTCTTCACCGCCCGTACATATTTTGAGATTTCCTCAACTTTAAGGAAGACAAATAAAATGTTCACACGTTAAATGTTTTTGTCTATACGTGTCTTGTGTGTATATGTTTATGACGCAGCATTTGCTGGGGGGGGGGGTCTTGTCTTTCTTGTTCAGCGTGATCTCAAAGAAAAATCTTTTATTTTTCAGGAATTCTTATATCCAGATGCCCGAGATAGGCAGTTTCTTCTGTTTTTCCACAAACTTTCCAAGAGGAAGATTTTTGATATCAAAAGATACAACGAAATCAAAGATGCCATCAGCAAAATTGAAGGAAATTTGCAAGTTCTGCGAAGCCCGCTGTTTCTACACCTTCCAGAAAATGCTCGAACCGAGCTATTAGGGAATGTCGCTGACAAAGACGATGAAAAATAACTTGACTGAAATGAACTCAGAAGTAATGTGTGTGGTGTTGAAAAAGCTATCTAGAGAAATGAATGGACATTAAAATAACGCAATGATGTATATAGCCTTATAAACATGTTATTTACCTGTCTGTCAGTCGTTGCAAATCCTAATTGTCTAATCTTTAAGTCGTGCTCGTGTTGTATTTTTGTGCTGGTGGGATTGCTAATGTAATGGCACGTGCACAAGAAGATTACAGAATGGACAAAGAAATCGAGTTCACCCAAGTTCTAGTCGTACCCCCCTCCCGTGTTAGTCAGATGCACGAGACTGAACGCCCATGTCAAGGTGGTTGGCCACGTCTTCCAGGGTCTTCCAGCACTTTCCCGCAGTTACGGTTTGACGGTACGACCACTCGATACCAGTCTCTAATCAGATATTGTTATTACACAAACGCTCAAATGAACAAGCTGCGGTCATCCTCATGCAAGGCATGATATCTTACCATAACAACAGTACAACCAGTTAAAAACACCCTTAATTTGAAAGGGCTGTTTAGTCAAAAACGAGTGCGGTGTCATTTTTTTTTATTAAAAAGTAACGGATGATATCCGGAGGGCTGTGTTCTGGTGATGAAATCATGAACAGAAATAACAATATTGGGCGTGGTTGCACCACTCTAGGTAGACACGTCTTCCCTAGCAAAATGTTCCTTGACAAAATTAGCAAGGGTTTCAATTTCTCTACGTACATTGCGAAATATTTCGGACAAAAAATAGTGTTCGAAAATGAAACCGTCCGAAACTTTTTAAGCGTCTGAAATGTTTACAGTAGAGTAGAAAACGTTTAAGTAACTCCAAAGCTCTTAGTTTTCCTTCATGGAGCAAATTCTAGCTGAGACGCTACTTGAAATACGCAACGGCTTGATAGAATTTCTTATTTTCTCGTCGATCGCATCTAATTATAAAACTTCGTGTAGGCATAAATACTTAAGTTATGTTTCAGTGAATTGAAGTGTCCGAAATTTGTCCTAAACGAGATAAAAAGTGTACGAAAATTAAACGTCCGAAATTTGTTGCAAGTTATGTGAGTAAGGTTACAAGAACCCCGCAGGGTGGCTTAGTTTTGCAAGAGACATCGTTTCATGCATGTAACCAAATTACCTCGGTAAAATTTATCTAGGTAAATCGATATGATTTAGGAACGTGTAGTTTACCAATACCAACGAGAAGTTTTTGAACAGTGCATGTGCAGTGCGTGTGCAGTGCGTGTGCAGTGCGTGATCCACTAATTAACACTTGGAGGGCGCACTGCACCCCCAGCATTGGTACCCATTTGATCCATTTGTGAGAGTGTCTTGCCCAAGAACACGAGGCCGTGACATAAAGAAAAATAAATTCATGTAATGCCAGCAGCTTTGTCCCCTCACAAAGAAGTTATGACACATGCTTATTACCTTCTCCTGGGGTTGGCCTGGATCATTGGAAAGGCTTTTTGGAAACAAGTTCAGTAATAAAATGCGTTGGAGTACAATATCACCCTGTTTGTGTAATATTTAAACAATCTTGTTGACGTGAGACTCGCGGTTTTCATTGCAATTTTCAGTCTCGCGATGAGATACAAAAAAAAAACTAACGGTGAACAGATTCACAAGGCGATAGGATAGAATTTACGTCTTTATTTTTATTTTTGGCTTGCCAAGGTGATTGCTGTGATGGCACGGTGGGCTTATGGTTAGCGCGGTGGACTCCGGATCGAGGCCTCGCCTGGGTCACTGTGTTGTGTTCTTAGGCAAGACACTTTACTCTCACAATGCCTCTCTTCATCCAGGTGTATAAATGGGTACCGGCGAACTTGATCCTTGGGGTAACCCTGCGACGACAGCTAGCAAAAAATCCAGGCAGGGAGGAGAAATACTCCTGGTCGTTGCTGGAGATAAATGCCCGCCTTAACGCAGACTACCTACCTGACCTTAGATGATTGTCTGGTGCCAGCAATTCTGCACAAATCCGTACTTGTAATAATAATAATAATAATAATAATAATAATAATAAGATAGGGTGTATTTTATTTCTTACTTTATTGACTGGCTTGCTAGATACTCAATCCACAATCCATGCCGAATGACGGCGTTATCATTACCAGTCTCTCGAACATGTAAAGGTCCATGCCTAGGTATACGCGTAAAGTTCGACGTCTGAATCAGCACATTTGTATTTGGGTCTGCCTTGCCGCTCTAGTCGACTGCGCTAGTCGAATAGAAAGGCAGAAATTCGACTTCGATTCAGACGTCAAACTTCACATGTGCTAACCTACGTGTAGCCGTACCCACCCCCAATGAAAAATGTTTTTGCTCAGGGGGTGGGTACGACGATATGTAGGCTACATTTGACGCTACGTGTGCCAAACTAGTAATGCATACATTACAGATACAATATTTAAGGAAAGAGCAGCAGGGTTGGCGCAGAGGTGAGAGCGCTCGCCTCCCACCAATGTGGCTCGGGTTCGACGGCCAGTTTGTCAACAACCGCACACTGCTAGGTTACTTACTATCTACAACCAAGAGATTATCAAGGTACTTACCTTGATAATCTCTTGCTACAACAGAATAGATAGTGAGTAGCGTATCCAATCAGAGAACGGAATTCGTTATAGAAAGATTACTACTTAAACAGTAGAGTATTTCTCTCAAGTAACTATCGGCTGATAATTGCCCCGCGGAGATTTGACGATCTTCAAACAAATATTTGCTCGAGAAGCGAAGCTTCGAGGGCAAACATGCTAGTTTTTAGAACATCAAATTTCTAAGGGGCAACTATCAGCCGATAGTTCCGAGACATAAACACTCCATTGTCTATATTGCCCATAAATCATATTGAATTATTTTCAACTTTTTTTAGTAGAAAAGCGTGAAAGCCATGTGTAAAATTTAAAAAAGAAAACTTACAAAAATCCACTAAATGCAGATCAATCAATCATTTGTTTTAATAAGCCCGCTTGTTTACAGAAAAATTTTCACGGACAACTTGTTCTATCAATCCGAGTATTTTCCTCTGACGGGCACTTTGGGTAGATAGTGTCTCTCCGTCGATGAACACTATCATGTTGCGTACTCAGTTTAAACCCGGCCGTCAATAATTGCGCTAGTTTTCTTACAGGGTGTTTTCTAAATAAAATATATTATACCCGCAATTCTACACATTCAAACAAAGTGCCATGTACAAAAGGCCTGCTCTAAAACACGACGTGAAAAGAGAGACCTTGTTCTTCATGCTTCACTATTTTGTAACGACTACGGGGCCGAGGAGGAGTTGTAATGTTATCTCGTCGGGATGAAATTAGTAATAAATAAAAGAAACTGAAAAAAAATAAACTAGTCTTCTACGTGCAACGCGGTGGTATAGTGCAGGCGCCTTTTATTTTTTTCTCCTGCTTCTCAGCGGTCTTGAATCCTAAATCCTCGAATCTGATTGGCTTATCACGCACTCTCAGATGTTCCGGATTTTCCCACCAGGACCCCGGGTACGGACCACTCCTAAGTTTCCAACTTTGGCAGCTTTCCAAGCTTTTTGTTACACCGTAAAACAACGTAGAATGTTAATATTTGGATTCCGATAAAAATATCTGCAAATAGTATCGCCTTTGTGCCCAACCTGTCAAACGCACGTGTGCACCAGATTTGAACTGAACGGCATTAATTAAAATCAAGAGAAAATATGGTAGGATCATGGTCTCTTGTTGAAATTCAGCACCAAAGTTGCTTTCAAAGCAATACCGCATAAAAAAAAAGAAAAAGAAAAAAAAAGGTAAGAATGAAAGAAACACGCACACTAGACCTCGGGCACAGATTTTCCCAATACGGACCTCCCGGCCCGCAAATTATTTATACGTACAGTATTTTCAAGGATGTTGTTAGCGAGCATAACAAGCTCCGAGTTTCCAGAGTGCTCCTTACCCGCCATATTGAAACCACCAAATCTTCGAACAAGAACCGCTGATCTCAAATGTTTTGAATCGAATTCACAATTAGCTAGTCATCCGTTTTATACATGAGCCTCTGGCTCGGATACTGAGGGCAACCTCAATCCCACGCAATGACTTTAATAAATTGATTGATTGATTGATTGATTGATTGATTGAGTTCGACGTGCGAATCAACTGTCAGATCGAACCGTGCCTAAGGTCACATCGTATTTTGAATAATTTATAAACAGGAAACAGACACTTTCTCTTGATGTGAGCCTGGTCTTAGTTTCTTTTGTCCGCCAGTCGATCAATCTCCAGGTTTTTTAACTTCGATCTCCAAGTCAGTTTCGGACGCTTTAGCTGAGGTTTAGGGCTCTGTTTCTCTCGCTAGTTTTGCGGTTTCTGTACGCCGGTACAGGCTGGATGTTTATTTCGTAAATTGTTTGTATGTTTACGATCATGATCTTTTATTAATACCCTATGTTTTTCCAATGCGGTAACGAATTATGGCCATGCCGAAATAAAGCTTGTTGTCTTTGCTGCTAACACTGCTGGGCTATCTTCCTTTTGTTTACCTCATCGACAACAGGGCCGACAAATATCTAGTCGTTTCTCTGTGAAAATTAAAAGATGTTTCCGTCCTGCTCAGCTGTTGCCAGTGTAACAGCTGTGCCCTGCAGCCGGCATGTTGTTTTTAATGTTTTTAACGTTTGTCTCTTGTTCATACATGAAATAACAACCTTACAAGTAAAGTGCCAGTGAAGTGTATTACGAGCTGCTGAAATCACACGAGGTAAGTAAAGCGGTACCATTTTCTTGTCAATTAAGCCTCGCCCAGTGCATTGATCAGCACCCTTTATGCCGGATTTGATCGCTACTAAGGTGATCAGACTCAGAAGTAACAAGCCGTGAACATAGCTGTGTAAACTATTCCAAAAGCCTTTCTTCTTTTGCTTATTACAAAGGCTGCACCCTTAGGAATTCAACCACTTGGTCTCATTGCTCATCATTTGGCCCAAGATTCCCAGTTAAGATTGAACATTTATTCGGAGTTGTTAGACTGTTCGTTTGCGTTTTTTGTGTGTCTGTGTTACCGAAGAGCCATTTGTTTTTGTGCACTGAAAACCTGGTATCAAAAGAGCAAGTCTAACCCGTCTTCCATCAGTAAAAGCTCATGACAATGGTACTACTAACTAGGTTAAAAGTGGTTAAGTAAAAACTGTTTCAGTTTGTGTTTACAAATCTTTTTTGGCATAAATTTCTTTAGCTCACTTAGCAGTGAGGCCCAATCGGTTATTGCTTTATGATGCGTTTTGTTTCTGCCCCATTCCGTTCTTAGCTTGCTAATTTTGAACATGCAACCATTTTGGGTATTGTAACCGTGTTGTTGGCTCGTGGTAGATCTGAACACATCGAAATATACGAGGATCACTCCTTTCATTGCGTCTTGCACAAGACAACACCGATGACCAAAACGCCTCGCATGTGCTGGGACCCACTGCAACGATGTTAGGGTATCTTTTCTTTGCTAAAGCGAGACGAAAGAAAAACTGAAAATCTGACTCAGTTTCAAAGGCACTATTTGTGAGGTGATTTTTAATCCTAGTTCTATTTTCAAACCTTAGTTTTAGTCTCAAATTTTTAGCTTTTATTACTTCTGAATTTTAGACATTTAATGTATATTTTAGACTTTTATTTTTTAGAGGACCCTCCTAAAAACTACCTCTAGGTGATTGGAGGCCTCCTCTTAAAGTATTAATTTATTATTATTATTACTTACCCCAGTTGAAAAACGCCACGTAGTGGATACTATTTCCAAAGCATGTTTGGAATTTAGGCAAAAAAAATGAAACATTGAAAAACAAAAACAATAGCAACAAAGCAACTGTCATTTTTTGAGTCCATCACCTGGCTAGAGTTGAAACTTGGTACAATTTGTAAACACACGCTTTTCCGTATTTTTTTTCATGCGTCCGATATTTTAGCCCTGTTTTGACGTATTTACTACTCTCGCACTTCTATTGTGTCCCATTTGTTAGATTGTTTACTGTGGCTGGGAATTAAACAAAAAGTCGAAAATTCCAAATCATTAAAAAATCGCCATCAAATTGTTTTTGTTTTTTTTTTTATTTTGCAGTGATCATTCTCTCATCCTGTTTGGGAGAATATCCACAAAAATCTTAAGACATTCAGGGACACTTTATTTCCCTTATGGATTGATTAAACGTGTTCACTCCATTCTGTTTTTCTTCTTAACAGTGAAAATGGAAACAGCGGAAAACGCTACAGACAATAAACCTCTGATGGCCCCCAGTGAAGCCATAACATGGTGCGTTATTTTCAGTTTGGAAGCTCTGGTTGCTGTTACAACTAACGTGGTCGCAATAATTGTTTTTCTCCAAAATACTTGGCTTCGTAAGCGAACGTCGATCCTGCTGTTAAATCTGGCTGTAGCTGACCTTCTGGTCAGTTTACTAGCTATGCCAGGCTGGGTATACGTCATTGGGGCCGGGGCTAATCTATGGAAGAACACTTGGACAAACGTGACGGTGCAGATCTTATATTCAAGCTTAGACATTGGCGGGGCATTTGCCTCGGTGACAAATCATGGTTGCATCGCTGTAGAACGACTCATAGCCACTGTAATGCCCTTTAAATACCGAAGTCGCAAAAAGAAAATAACCGCACAGTTCATAACGGTGGTATGGACTTGCGCACTCGTCATCCCTGCTTTAACAATGATGGGATTCCATGTTCTCAGCTCCAAGATGTTTGCTTTCTTTGTTTGGATGCCTTTCCTTTTCGTGTTACTGCTGGTTATTGCAACATCTTATTTAATCCTGCTGTGCAGAGTGAAAGTGGTATCTCGAGATCTTCGCCAAGAAAGCGATTGCCAACGTAATCACCGCTTTACGGTCACGGCGCTTATCGTAAGCGTAGCGTCCTTGACAGCTTGGCTTCCATTCATTATTATGAGTGCCATCAACCTGGTCACCCCCATCAATCAAGATCTGCGCCGCGTCAATACCGTCAAGATGTTACATTATTTCAATTCCCTGTGCAGTATCTTGGTCTACTGGTTCCGGATTCCTCATTTCAAGGATGCAGCGTGCACGTTAGTGTTCTATCAGAAGAAGAGACGTCAACTACCGCAAGGCGCAGCGACTGCGAGATCTTCATCTAACATCCGCAATGTAGCAGTTTCATCTTCTCTCTAAAGACCCTCAGCCTCCTTTCCTGTCTTCTGTTACTTATAGCCGAACTTTTACTGCAGGCTTCGTTTGTAGCGGTAGCTATCAGTTGGTCTCGAGATTTAAGCGAAGTTGCTACTATAGAATTTCAATTTGTATTCTTAAAGTTTTTCAATTTGCATTTTTCGTTTCTATTGTAGCTGAAAAACCCACTTAGGGAGCTTAAATAAAGTTTGTATGTATATATGTATGTACTAAAGTTCCTAAAGAAATCCTGCATGAATTTAAAGAAAGAACAAGATATCTGAACAAAGGTATTACTTCAGTTCGAAAAAAACTGTTAGGCTGCGTTGGCCTGCAAGCGAAGCTGTTTATCAACTTGAAGTTTGTAAACGTAAATTAAACGCCGTGGCGGAAAAGAGAACTCCAATCAGGACTACCCTGAAACAGGAACTCAAGACAGAAATTAACTCGGTTTGTCTCCTTTACTTGCGACAAGAATCTCGGCAACTTCCTCTCAAATCTGACAAACAGCATGATACTTTTAATTGAAATGAACCCAAATCGAGGAAAAAAATAATGTTAATGATAAAAAATCACGAACGGCAGAAAGGCGGCAGAAGGGCAGTTGTTATTCTGCTGGAAATCACTCAATTTGCTCACCATGGTCTTAAAACTAGAAAAGCTGTCCAGTTTGGTCTGATAGTTACCTCTTGGAAATTTGGTGTTCTTAAAATGATTAGCATGAACTTTGATGTGTGTGTGTGTGTGCTAATGACGAGAAAATTGCAGTAGAAGGGACTCTCTATTATTCTATTACAATTTCCCTGGTTTTTGATCTTACGTACCTAACTAACGCTAAAATCAAACATTATGTTGGCCTAATGCAGCAAAAATATGCTTTATATTAGTAACATACCATGCAAAACTCTACTAAACAAGAATTTTTCAACACTTTTAAGAACGATTATGCACTCTCCTCTTATTTGGGCCTAACAAGCCAACTAAGCGAAAGAAAAGAACTAGTGAAATTTAGGATACAAATCACAAACTAAGGATTGAGACTGGTTAATATGATCAAATTCCAAGTGTTAACAGACTCTGCCCTATTTGTGTATCTAATCAAATTGAAGACGAATCTCACATTCCTATATATTGCAATAAATACTCTATTCTAGGAAATAAATTTTATAAAAAATAGAACAGATCATTCCGACTTTTTAAACAATGATCTTCGTTGCAAGCCATCGGAGAACTTAATAATAATGATAATGATAATAATAATAAACTGGCTATCCCCTAGTGCCCCAGGACCATGGTTTGGTCTCGGTCCTAAGGACTCTAAGCAAACATTACGTGAGGACGATAATAATAATAATAATA